TCAAATAAAACAATTTAACTTTCTTAGCTTTGCAAGGTATATTAAGTTTTGTTTCGCTTGTAAGTCAGTCACTATTTCTTGCTATGATCATCATCTCTTTGCCTTTCTTTTTCTTCCTTTTTTGGCAGTGAAATGTCGCGTCATCTTTTGTTAAGGAACATTAATAGTTTTCGCATGTCTCAAAATGGTTCACTTATCCGAAAACAGGTGCTCATAACTTGGAGCGTTAAACTGGTCTTTGTTTCTGTTTGCTATCTCTTGTGTCCGCAAGAGATTATGATAGAAGTACAAAAATTATGTTCAAAGACAAAAGTTAATTATTAATATTTTAAACCGGCTTTCAAATGACAGAACATTTAAGCTTAATTATGTCCCTTCTCTATTTTATCTGGTCACCAAGGTGTCTCTAACAAAAAAGCTCGTAAGTATCTTTTTTTTTTTACTATTTCTCATTCATTTTCACATTTCTGACGCACAAGTCAGTCATTATGAAAGAGACACAGATTTATTACGATTTCTCGTTATCTCCCTTTGCGAAAGAGTAGAGTTATAAGCTTTCCTGACAATGAATCAGGCGGGCATAGTTTTCGCCATAGTCACCATTTATAATTGCAGCCAAGAGGAATACTTTTGCATAGTGACCTTTTTATTAATGGGGGCTGACAATATATCCAAGACTCTTTTCCGGTCAGACTTCCCCATTCCGTGCCGATATAGTCACTATTTGAAGTACCCAACAGTTGTGGCAAGTGTTCCATTAAAAAGACACTTTTCCTTAACGATACGAAGATTAAGAACTATGAAAGCAATAACAAATATGTATAACTAACTAATAATTCTCTCTTTCCCGTTACCTACCTTGACTGCCAAACAGACCGTGAGTATCTGTACTTTATTTAATAGTAATTTGGCGAGTTTAGCATTTCTTTTCACTGCTTTCACTACTGCAGTAACCATCATGTAATGTATATTTATATTTCACTTTATTATATGGCTCTGTCTCACAAGAACTGGGAACTACCGAATTCACGAATTTGATAAGCTGAAATCAATATTGAAAGCGGGTGTAGATTTTCCCATCTAGACCGGCATCTACACCGGTCTAAAAAAACAAAAAAGGTATAAAATATACAAGATTCTCCCGTACATGGACCTCCCGCTCGGTTAATAAGAACTAAGTAATGCACTCTTGGTAATACTAAAGGTTACAATTTTCCTTTCACAAATATTATTAGGAACAAATATATGAATGAAAAATGATGATCACTAATAAACACGGTATTCTGGTATTCGCCTAACTACCTAAGTTGTGAGATAGAATAAATATATGAAAATCATATATTTTGAACTGCGGTATTTGATACGTATGATGGACGATCCTCGCAGTAGATAGCGCTATTTGAGCAATAGCGAAATTCAGACCTGAAAAAAATCAGGCCTGTACGGGACTCGAACCACTGACCTCTGCGATACTAGTGCAGCGCTCTAACCAATTGAGCTAACAAGCCAACTGAGAGCAGGCCGTTAAGTTGATTCGTAATGAACCCGTGAAAGTGATAAATGAGATAGAATAAATATATGAAAATCATATATTTTGAACTGCGGTATTTGATACGTATGATGGACGATCCTCGCAGTAGATAGCGCTATTTGAGCAATAGCGAAATTCAGACCTGAAAAAAATCAGGCCTGTACGGGACTCGAACCACTGACCTCTGCGATACTAGTGCAGCGCTCTAACCAATTGAGCTAACAAGCCAACTGAGAGCAGGCCGTTAAGGTGATTCGTAATGAACCCGTGAAAGTGATAAATATATGATTTTCATATATTTATTCTATCTCATTTATCACTTTCACGGGTTCATTACGAATCAACTTAACGGCCTGCTCTCAGTTGGCTTGTTAGCTCAATTGGTTAGAGCGCTGCACTAGTATCGCAGAGGTCAGTGGTTCGAGTCCCGTACAGGCCTGATTTTTTTCAGGTCTGAATTTCGCTATTGCTCAAATAGCGCTATCTACTGCGAGGATCGTCCATCATACGTACCTAAGTTGTATTTGCCTAAAACTGCTTTGAGTCGTTTTGAACTGGGTTCTTTTAAAAATATTCATTCAGAGTGAGCCATAAGTAGCTAAGGATCCGGTTTCGATCGAGTGGCTCAGTAGAAGTAAAGATTTAGTGGCATCTGTAGAAGACTGTGACATTGAAGTGTCATTCAATTGATACTAAGGATTTAAGTCTTGATTTTATAAATAGTTGCATATCAGAACTAGCTATTGCACAGAGGTTTTGGACGACCGATTAATGAATATCAAATCTCTCGCTCATTAGTTAATTCCATTTATTTTCCTGTTCTTCTTTTTTTTGTTGTTGTTGTTTTTTGGTTTTTGTTTTTGTTTCTATTCCATGGCCTCGGTTCTGATAAAACCATTAGAACGTAAGTACATACTTTATTTTTGAATAAAGCATTTGTATTTTCATGGCGCCTTTACAGCGCGTTTACGTTCACACACTGAACTGGGGTACAGTTGTTATGTGAAGGAAAAATTCTGCAGCATTTCTCAATAAACAACTGGACCTATTTGAGCTAAAAATGCATACTTTAATTTATTTCTATATGTTTTACTTTACATGCCAATTCTTCAATCACTTAGCTGGTAAGTTAAAGAAAACTTATCCCGCGCAATTTTTGTTCTTAATTTTCATGCTCAAAACGACAGTTTTTTCTTTAGTACCTAATATCCCACTTACAATAGGATCCCATGTAAATTACTTTTTCTTTTCGGAGGCCATGTCGATTAATTGTTAAAAATCCAAGTTATTGTAACCTCTTGTTCCCCCCCTAAGGGAACTTAAATCTAATAGGAAGCAACTGGCATCCATTGCTCGAAAATTCACTTGATTATGGATTGCTTATTTCTATCCTATGTTAAGTTCTCGTGGCGGCACACTAGGACAATGAAAATTCAGTGAAACCTCTAGGAACTCATATTGAACGTAAGCAATTGGCATCCACCGCTGAAAAAAGCACGCAATTAATTATGAGAAATCAGATTTTGCAACTGATTGGCTGAGAAGTTAAAATGGAGGATTTGACGTAGTAGAACTTCGATGTGACCCTGGATCAATACCGACACACCCATTGGAAACTGCCCTTCCTTTTAATAGTACATGCAGTTTTAATCAATGGAGTCTACCCTGACATCCATCAGTGTGTGTAAGGTGTATTTCTGTGATTTGTGAAGACTACTATAACTGGCTTTTTATCCTCTGATCTACTTGTGACCGCTATCGAGGAATATTCTGCTCAGTAATGCTAACGTTTTCTGCTGTGATAGCGACTGAATCACGCCAAGGACCGCAAAAAAAAAAAAAAAATGTTAACGATGTCTGACTTACGACCGCTATGAGTTCTGACAGGCGCAGAATAAAATTAAAACCGCAAGTACTTCAAGGACTGGTCATAGACGCATAAAATCAGTCAGACTCATAACGCGAGATCGGAATGAAACATTTGAACTTGACTCTGGAAAGGCAACCCATCCTTAGCAGTTTCAATCAAGTTTTTGGGGACTTATTTTCCCGTATCGCATCTTGAGAAAATGTTTGAGAAATGTAAAGTTAGGTGCTATCACTCGCTTTTTATGCGTTACTGAAATCCACTTCCTTTTTTTCTAAAAAGTAGGCTAGAGTTTACGATGGATTGCTATTCCATAACTTAAAACTATATTTATATTAGATCACTTTATTAACTGCTTATCTTTTCTTATCTCATTTTTTCTTCCAAGCCAAAAGGGAAGGTAACTATCAAAATCATCCGTTCCTATTATTAAAAAAACTCTCCTGTGAGTGAATATACATCATTGACTCTATGAACCACCTGGCTATTGATCCGCAAATTGCAATCGTGAAAAGAGCAAGGGAATCTGGGGGTGTATAGCACTGACGATAACCGATAGCTGTTTCTATTAAGTGTTAAAGTCCAAAAGACGTTTTGGTCAGTTTTGGTCAGTTATAATGTATTTCTGAAAACCTAGGTCCTGTAATAAACGATATTTGTACGTGTGATCATCATCACATGTCAGTCATGTTAGGATTGATTGTTTGTTTAATTTAACAAACGCTGTTATTTTATTTTACTTCAATGTAAAAGAAAAATAAGACAAACCAAACATGTTGGTTAGTTTAAATAACTAAATAAATGACGGAATTAACGGTTTTTTAAATTATTTTTTTCTTTCATGGCATACTTTCATGATTTATAAGCGGGTGAGTACAACACGTTCAGCTAGTTCATGAAGCTTATGATGTGGTTGCCAAGTAATCCAACGTTATATTAAGCCACTCATTTACTTACCGAATGTGCAATCTTTCTTTTTATGTTCACCTAACGTCCTCATCCTAACCTGTTTAACAGACTGTAAGTAGTTATGCTCGGACTATCGTTTATCGGTGGGAATAAAAAAGTCGATTGAACAAATGAATGGTTCTCAATAAACGGATACAGGCAGGACACAGTGTTCCTCTGGGGATCAGTGACTGATGCCAATACAAAGATTCATAATAAAAGCAAAACTTCTAAGTGTTACAGCCACTGAATATGAATGGCTTCGGCCATCCTCTGGTGGGGCTTTAACAGCAACAATGGCATTGAGAAGTGACGGCGACATAATCCTAGTTTGTTTCTTTAATCATTTTTGCACAGGCATCTACCTGAGCAGCAGAAAGATAAAACTTCCCTTTCCCGGGCTTGATAACATGATAAATCCCTGCAGGATGTTGGGAGTACATGGATGATGCTTATAAATCGGGAGCTGTAAGGCGGCTGATTTATAAGCTTCAAGCCATCTATCTTTTTAACTTGGTTATTTTAGTTCAAAGTCTTCTTGGAAATTAGAATACTATGATATCGACGATGATAATTATTTAAGTTGATATCCTTTACGGCAAGGTACAGATTTATGCAGCTGGAAAAAGTTCCTCAAATGTCCTTTTCGCACAACTTACTGTTTCTAAAGGTTGCATGGCGTGGTCATCATGGAGTGGCGGCTGCAAAGAGTGCGGAGAGAACCGGGAAAGAGTTGGTAAGTAACAAGACGAGATTTTTATACTTGTAATTCCAAAGTGCATTTGCCGGTTTTTTCCCAACGTTTTTAAAAAATTAGAAACGGATTTTAGAGATTTTATTCAAATGAACGATTTCTTTTGTGTAGAATGCAAAATAGGCTGTTATTAAACTCAGGGGCAATAGTTTGAGAACCAAACCTAAACTATATATGTGGTTAGAAAAGTACCAAATGTATGTTCAAGTTATATTAACGCGAGATTAAATTCATTCCTTGTCCGTTTCCTATTCTCTTAACTGGGAATTGTCCTGGAATCTTCACGATTTATTAATGACCATTTTTTCGCGGACAGAATTAGGATGACTTAAGCTTAATCGTTTATTACTTTTAAAAGATTATCTGAATAACCTTACTTCTAGAGTTTAACTGCTCAAGAACTCGGGAATCCCGGCTTTGTAAATGTAAGTGCTTTTATGTATAAGGATGAATTAAAGGACTCAAGTGCTGGTCGAAAATACTCTCCCCCCTCCCCTTGGGAGAGAAAGAGATTTGCACCAAAATTGTGAGCGACAGTCAAAAGGGAGAAGAAGAGAGGGGATAGGGCTAAATTCTAGCATTAATTTATTTTTTTTCCTTTTAAAAAGTAAAGGTCCTCCTGAAACAGTTCTCGGTTCCAAAATTCAAATGAATTTGTATGTGAGGGGTTTTCCTTAGCCAGAAATAAATTAGACAAAGAATGGAAAGTTACTTGATAATACAAACTTGCTCCCCGTTACAGAAGTATTGAGTGAATTATGGAGTCACTGGTCAATACACATGCTGCGCCAAAAATAATGAGAAGGAGAGGGAAGCTGCTTCCGGACAAAATGCTACATATTTTCAGGCTTTAGCTAATATTTTCATTTTCTGTTTTTCATTTTCACCTTCTCTGAATTGTATCTGTCAATTCTTTGCATAGGCCCTCCTGAAATTAATCATCAGCTCAAGAACCAGCCGTTTTTATATAACTCAACCCTTCGGTTCAAATGCTCTCTAAGAGGTTTCCCTGAACCTGAGGTACTCTGGACTAAGGATGGGGTGAATCTTGGTGACAAAAACACTCTCACGATTGATCGAGTGAAATATGAAGATGCTGGCCAATACACATGCAGCGCCAAAAACAGCGAAGGGAGCAAGAACTCAACTTTCTGGATTGAAGTGGTAGGAGGTATGGTTCTCATTTCTAAATAGAAACAGCTGGAGTCTATCGTCGGTTTAAATTTTTAACTAGATGACAAAAAAAAGCTGATTTTTAGGTTCCGGATCAGATTTAAGGGTTTCAAACCACATCTACATATATTTCAGAGTTGATCAAAATGATAGAAAAGAACTCAGTTGATGATGACATCTAAAGAGCGAGTACAATTCAAATAATATAAGAGTTGTCAATTGATTTTGTATTTAGACGCAAGCGATTAGTTTTAGGGCAATCTAAACCGATTTGTCTTTATAGTGTCGAGGAATTTTGACTTTATAGATCTCAAGGCTCCATCTTTTTTGACATGGCATTTAATATAAAAATTCGTTTGAGATTTGAATTGACCTTCCCATCTCTCTCCTAATCAAATTACTCGATCAATATCAATGACTGACCAGTCATAATTTAATGTACATTAGTAACAGTGTACGCGTTATAGTTTCTCACAGCGGCTATCGGTGCAGCATTATCTAGTAAGTATTTATCATTGAAGTTCGAAAGCGATTTTTGTAAAAACATCCCTGCTAAATCAACGACCGAGATGACGAAAAGATATATGAAAACAATCCTGACGTCATTAAGAACTTGTACCCTTGTTACAACGGACAATTTGGGTATGTGAAATGACAGATTTGGTGTAATCTTTTCACGAAATTGAAACCTCTCGTAATTTTTTGACCATCGTTGCCAAGCTATTCATCGAGTTTCAGGACTTTACCATTAACTTATAGAAACTGGTAATCTTGGAAGACGGTAACATGGCTCGTTCACATTACACCTGTTATACCTACTAGCCTATAAGATTGAACTAAAAATTGAATAAAATAGATAATAAAATTATTATCGCTCCGTACCTTTGCTAAGATAGGAGATATTTAAGGCAATGAAAAAATATTGTTTTAACTTCACATTGGACTGGACTATACCTCTCTTTAGCACACGTAAAGAGAACTGATTGCGAAATAACTCGGATTGAACAAAGGTTCGCGAATTATGTAGTCTGCTTTTACGGGAAACGGGAGGGGGGTGTAGTGTTAAAATATAATGGACAATGCGATCCTTAACTTGGTGATCTTTTTACTTTAAGTCTCTCCCCAGATCATTGCACCTCCAACAAACCAATCTGTTACTAAAGGATACCCTGTCAACTTTAGTTGCGTAGCCTCAGGTGTTCCAACACCAACATTTGTATGGGATTTTAGTAATGGTGACCTGTCATCTGGTATCCATCAGACCGATCAAGAAGGAGAGTCACTCCTGGAATTGCCACGTGTCACAAAAGAGATGGAAGGGACTTACAATTGTACAGCAACAAACAAAGAAAATACAACCAGTTCCTCTGCAGCACTGCGTGTTTATGGTAAGTTTATTTAAATGTTGATAATTGGCATAAAGATGAATATCAAGTTGAAGATATTAGGGATGAGTGTGGAGATAAAGATAAAGATAAAGGTGACGGTGGTGGTGAGAAAGGATGGAAACAGGGGTTTAAGGCTTGTGCATTTACACTGTTTCCAGACTACACAACTTCAATTATGAACTGATGTGTACAGACATAGAAACTAAGAGATGGAATAGGTACAATTATTGTTGAAGTTTCATTATCATCGAAGCTAGAATCTTCTTATATTTGAGTAAGCTCAAGAGTCAATTCGGGCGAAATCAATCCTAAGTAGCAATATTCTCGAGCCTATTACATTACGTAGGGATTAGATTTGCGACAAACTATTTGGAGGAATCCGCTATTTGAGTCAACTGAGTAGATCTGGGAAGATTCGTAAGAAAGCAAGGAAAAGCTATAAGTAATGGCGCTATTGTCATGTCATTAAAATGCTTTGTACATCTTAGCTGGAACATTTTAACGCAGATATTTCTTCTACGGAGAGATCCAGGAAGTTCAGAGTAGAGCAGGAGGATTTGAAAAGGAAAGCGAAACTCAAAAACCATTTTTGCGTGTGATACAAAGACTACCAATCTTGAAAGTAATGGAAACACTAAAAACTGCTTTATTCCTAAACGAGTTAATTGGCAGAACTTCTTGGCTCGTAATGAGACTAGGTCAATTGATATGTTCTGAAAAAAAATATTCAAAGGCCCCATCTGGATCGGTTCGTTTCCATATTATTGTTTATTTGTTTGTTTGTTAGTTTGTTTGGTGTGGATACTGCATGTGTAATTCCATAGTTACATTAGGATTTTAATCCATTTTCTCTCTCCTAATGTAGGAAAAGCCTCTGCTCAAATTGTTCCAGAGACAAATCCAACACTCACAGCAGGAAAATTTCTCACATTGACCTGCAAAGTCAACGAGGAAACCGTAAACATAACATGGAAGAAAGATAGAGAATCATTAAGAGAACGAGCAGTTATAGATACCCGACTAGATGAGAGAAAGAGTAAACTTGTTGTTGCTGAGCTTGTGGAAGAGGACAGTGGTGAATATTCTTGTGAAGCAAGTAACAAGCTAGGAACTGTAGCTCGCTCTTCTGTGACATTGGACGTAAAAGGTATGCTGGTGTGACTGCAAGGCCATTGCTGTAAACTAAAACCTCGACTTTTTATCTTCCTAAACTTTTTCATGTTCTTTTTTCATCTTCTTGAAACTAAAATTATCAAATCAAAACGAAGTTAGAAACAGTAGCAGCATCTCATACGTGGAGTTGACTATATTATTTGTTATGATGATGTACTTTGTATTTCGGGCACTTTTCAATTTACATTTACATTTACACGGAGTTTTTAACCACTCTTATAGCAATCTCACCGAAAAAAGCTAAAAAATTAAAACCTTTCAAAAATAATCAACATATTTTTTTCTTTGATATTCGAGTTACCCCAAGATATCTCTGTTTTTTTTTTTTTTTCATTTTTTCTCTAGTGCATGTCATAGTCACTAGAGGCGTCTTATATTTGTCCTTACAGAACTACCCACCATCGAAATCTTTCCAAAAGAGCCACCTTCCTCATTGGAAGGGGGGACACTCAAATTGACTTGCTTATTCCAGAAAGTACAAAATGTAACCTAGAAAAACCACTGTGCCACAGAAAATCAATACACAATAGTCAATCTATCCCTCTCTCTTTCCGTCCTTGAACAAAATATTACGCTTCTTCCTTCTTTTCTTCTTGTTATCATCATTTGCGTCATTCTGTCAAGACAAATTGATATATAATTCGACCCCTCTAACTTTGTACCCCGAGAATTGACGACACTGGCTGCCTTTGTTAATAAACTAAATCGCTTCCTACATGAAATGTAGCAGCCCCAGCAGCTCCTTCCAGCAATTCACTGAAGTGGTACTACATTGGTGGATCTATAGCTGCTGTCATTTTCCTGCTGGTTCTCTATGCATACATCAAAAAACGCCATGCAACAGGTAAAAGGAACTTTAAGGAGGTGCCATAGGTCAGTCAATGAGAACAAAATGTTTTGATACGGCAAATTGTGGCTTCTTACACGTCAATGTTTAGGAGCGTCAAAGTTTAGGAGCGTCAATGTTTAGGAGCTATTTTTATCAGGTCACATTCTCCATTTCCAGAGCTAACATCGAAGGTCACTTTTCATCACCCACAAGCCCATTAGCTAATCAAATTACATGAAGGTTATAATTATAACCAGCTAGTTATCATGGCAAGCCACCTTATTGCTTTTTAGTTTTAGTCACAGTCTAGGATAAGTTGAATGTGATTTTTTAGAACGAGTCGTAGGCTTTGACTAAGCCAATGATCTCATTCTTGCTCAAGAAGAAGCCATTTTTTCCATTTTTTTTCTACATATCCTGGGAAACTAGCCTTGCAAGAGGTGCCCAGCAGGTTGAAGTTAGTAGATTTTCTTTGTTTAATGGTTACTTTGAGTATGTTGTCATGCCCGCGGTCTCCAACTCTTAAAGAAGTCTGTGCAGAGAATAGTTGTTAATCGCCACTGCCGAGAAAATTGTGTCGTATTTTAGCTTGGTCCTTCTTGTAGACCCATTTTAATTACTTATTTACTCGATTTTAGACCGATTCCTTTTTTTTTAGACAACACGGTTGTTGTTGGTTAGTAATTTATTTACTAACCACTAGACAGGCACGTAAGAGGCACGGTATTCAAACGGCGTAAAATGCAAAACACCAAGTTGGCACAAGGCATCTTCAGATTCCTCATATGCTGTTCACTCATTGCTTTTTGAAAAACCAAATCTCTGGTATTGGGATGATGTGGCACGGGCTCGTCAGTAAACTAGTATCCAAATCTCACCTATTTCATAAATTTTCCATTAGCAAACGAGAGTTTTATGAATCCAGTGAAACAAGCAAAGAGGAAAACGCAACTTCCTTCAAAACTAAAAGACAAAGAGTACATTAAGCTAGACACAGAGATACAAAGATGGATAGGTAACAGAAATAGTTAAATTACAGCCGCGTTTTCATCTTTAACTATTCAGTGAAGAGCAAGATGAAGTTGAGATGAGTCAGCTGAACGCAAACACGGATGGATGGGAGATTGCAGTTGACCGCCTGAACTTTCGCGAGCCTATTGGCAGAGGGGCATTTGGCTCAGTGTGGCGAGCGCTCCTTAGTCGGTCCCATGGCAGACGTGAAAGTCGTACAGTCGCTGCCAAGTGTTACCTGCGTAAGAACATTAAGATCTCTCGTTGTTGTATCCATGATTGAAGTGTCCTCAACGATCAGATCGCGCGTGGTGTTCTACATTATGTTATGAAAGTACATAAAAGTGGAAACTACAGCTGACAATAATTAAGTCTCACTTCACTTTCATCCCACCTTGAATCACGTGCTCACCACCTGCGGCGGTGGTCGTTGCTCAATATTCGAGGGAAAATTCCCCCTGACGTCGAATATCTCGCGATGTTCCCCTCAAGGAGACTTTTGACGGAAAAGTTTGTTATGTAACCTCAAAGAGACCAAGAAAGCGTGCAGTTTTGGGAAGACAAAATATCGAATCATATGTCCATGCATGATATGCATGACCTAACGTAATCAACTGATTTAAAAGTGTATCACCTTACTACGTAAATTAGATTGCGGACTGATTATTAGTCGTACATCAATAAAAAAAAAACCATTACAAACCAGTACAAAACAAAAGCAAGCAATAAACAAAAACAAAAAAGCCAAAAGCCATTAAAATTTAATCTTGGGAGAAGTAACTTTATATGATATAATAAAATAGAACAAAGGATTGCGTAGCATTTAAGAGATAGAGAACATTTTTTTTTTCAATGACGATGAATGTAGTGGAGGAAATATCACATAAATGAAATACGGTACAAATTAAGAGAAACGCCAACTAATTTCTTTTTCTTAGCAAATATGAAGGCGTTTCTTAGCTTTGATTTAGATATGTGGACCTTATGCACTGTAACCTGTGCTGATCATTTAACAACAAATATACAACACTTGTAGATAAGAGTGTTAACCACAAAATGAATTGTCCCTATTAATACATCATTGCACTGTTTGTTTCTGTGGTTTATTAGCAATCTCTGGAGAGCAAGGAAGGAAGGCCCTTCTGAGAGAGATCGAGTTATTAAAACTCTTTGGAAGGACGGGCCACGAGAATGTTGTTAAGTTCATTGGCTGTGTTACAGTTGGAGGTAATCAGCTATTGTTATGATTGTAATCAGCTAAGTCACAGTAAGGACGAAAACATCTCTGAGGAGAATTCAACCACTGATAAAATCACTTCTATTGCTAAGATGGTGTGCTAATTCAGGGAATACTTCTATTTTTCTAAATGTATTTAGTTATTTATTTGTTTATTTTCAAATATTTAGCGCTGTAAAATGTAAAATTTGATGAAAGCTTCGATTTAGGATGGCGAGTCTGTCTATTTATCTGCCAACTCTTTGTCTGCCTTTCCGTTCGTTCGCCCGTCTGTCTGTCTGTAGTCCTCTATCTGCCGTATGTGTCTTCCTGTCTTCATATTTCTGTCCGCATGTTCCTTCTTTCACTTTTCCCTCTCTGTCCCTACTCTGGTTCATTAAAGATAGAACCTACTATAATTTAGAACATTTTGGAACTTCTGCTCTGCTTCTCTTATGATGATTTGCAAATTCTTGCTTGAACTAATTTAGCTCAGCCAATACTTATCATAGAGTACCTATGGCGAGGTGACTTGCTGGGCTACCTCAGAAAATCCAGGGGGGTTTTCGACCACTATCATCGTGGGGTCGGAAGGGTCGACCACTTGACAACATATGACATGGTGCTGTTCGCTAAACAGATCGCAAATGGTATGACTTTTCTCGCGTCTAGAGGGGTAAGTGCTTAAACTCTTCTTGGTTCGCATTTCGCAAATCGTTCACCGTATGAATAAAATGATGAAGCACATTTGAATCATTGAGTCACACGAAAATAGTCTGAAACATACCTCTTTATTCCTTTTTCTTCTTTGATGTGAATTGTTTGTTCTTTATCTATTTTGTCACCAGCCAATCACATTCTTTCTCCAATTCAGATAATTCATCGTGATCTCGCAGCTCGCAACATTCTCCTCGATGAGCATCGTGTATGCAAGTTGACTGATTTTGGGCTCTCTTATCAGGATTTCAAATACGGTACAGGAAAGGCCAAGAGGGTAATTTTCATAATTTTTTAATCACTTGTTCAGCGAGTTGTTAGTTGACTACTATCAAATGAATCATATACCATAATATGAGGTTAGCTTCTTTTACGTGTATACCTAAGGTATAAACGAGAAATTTTTTTCTGGGACCGTGGGTATGAAAGGTTATAATGTGTAAAAACTAAAAGGAAAAATGAGCGTATGTCAGTAAATGACGTCAACTAGGCCTCTATTTTGAGACTCAAACCAAAACTTGTACTATATTGACGAACCTTACCTCCTTATATACAGTTTTACCTCCAACCATGTTTCCTTTATCGGAATGCCATTCTAAGCATTTCGAAATTTTCATACAAACAAAAAAAAATTGCACACTCTGCTAAAGGAGTGAACCCAGAGAATAAGATAATCGGAGTTGATAAATGTTCTTTTAAGTGCAAGAATACTAACTCGAACATGTCGAAGGGTAGTGTAACACAGGAGATGTAAAGAAAAAGGGGCACGTGACTTTTGTCTAAAGAAATTTTCAGCAACGCGTGTGTTGCTCTTGAATTTATCACGACTATTCGCATCTTTGGTGAAAAAAGGGTCTCAATCTTTGTGAAAAACATCTCAGAAACTGTATCACAGAGTCTTTAAATTACATCTGCTCATAGTATTCTAAATACTCACCCAGGGATGTATCCCAGTAAAATGGAGTGCACCCGAGATCCTCATTGGCCATGTGGAACGGCTGTCAACCAAAAGTGATGTGTACGTACTGCTATCGTCATTATATATATTATAAGTGTCAACCTGTTTACGATGTTTACTTAACGAATTGAATAACCAGTGCTTTATTGATCAGAGGGTCATTAGGATACGTCGAGCCGGAAATCTGACAGTAGACCTGCAGTATAAGATTTGGATGAGTATTAAGTTTAACGGGCAATACTTAAAACCTCGTTAGGAAAAAAAAGAGATGAAAAGATAAATGAATGATCAAATAATTAACTATGGAGTTTTTATGTTTAAGGCATTGTTTATATCTTGATAAACGTATTCTAAAACATTTGAAGTATCTGAGTTAAAGATAATTTTTCTACCCTAGTTGACATGAGTCGTCATACTTCTATCTCTTCCACAGGTGGTCTTATGGCATAGTCCTGTTTGAAATCTTCACAATTGGTACTCAGTTCACTTATTTGCTAGTTTGCTTTCAGAAAATATACTCACCGAAATTACTTGCACAATAGCCATTTGAAAGATTATTCCATGAGCAGTTACAGATGCATTGTATGATAGAGAAGTAATGGCAATACTCAATGTCGCTAATCAATAAATATATCTTATTAGACGTTTTGTTGTGTAGTATCGCTGAGTATTTTTATGAGTTGTGCCGTATTTTGACGAGCCCGTAGGGCGAGTCAAAATACAAATAAGGAGTAGAAATACTCAGTGATACTACAAAAGAAAACGTCTAATAAGTTATTTATTATCCAGCACGCTAAACTGTTATTTCAGTGCGGGCGAATCTCGTGGATATCTCTTTACGGGGAGTGCATGACAGAAGTATGCGAAGCGGAACGGAATTGGCGCGTTGTCGTGTTGCTGTTTCTATTTTCTTCGATAAATGAAGAGATTTCCCGGTCGTCTAGCTGTTTTTCTTCGTTCGATTCATCTTATAAACTTGGATGTATAATTGCCGGCCATTCTGACGTTTCGTCGCCGGAAATATGATTCAAATTCTCTGCCATTTATTTTTTTTCGTAACTACAATTCAATTCTTCGCTGCGCGATGCGAGAAAACCTGTTTAACCGGTACTCTAGAGAACAAATACCGCGTGATATTTGTATTCGTCTATGGCGTTATTTACGCTCTACGAAGTGTAGTTGGATAATAAACTCTTTTATCACACTCTTAGAAAACGTTTCTTCTTCTATCTCCTATTTGATGTAAACAGGATAATTCTTCGATAACTATCGTTTCGACATTGAAATCATTCCGATCGTGCCTATTAAGATGGAAATGATTACAACTAGAAGTTGTGCTCTTTTATTTGCCCACAGGAGGTATTCCATACGAAGGATGGTCGGAAACCACAACAATAAGAAAAATCTATCAAGGATACCGTTTGCCAAAGCCTGAACATGTAGACGACAGTATGTAAGTTCGGCTTCTTTTGTATAATACTGAACATGGATTGTACAAAACAAAAATGTAATGTTGCAGAAATAAAATACCATACAATAGCTAACGTGGTCGGGTTTTGTTGTAGCTTGCATTCATTTTATCAGATGATGAAAAAAGCGATAATGGTGGTAATGATGGTGTAAATACTTCCTGAACCTTAAATCTGTTCAGTCGGAATAAATAGCCTTCCTATCAAATTTGCGCTATCAATAAAACAGAACAACTAAACAAAACTAAACTAAACTAAACTAAACAAAAGCGAAACAAAAGCGAAACAAAACAAACCCAAAACAAGACAAAACAGAAAGAAAGCAAAGCAAAACAAAACAAAGCAAAAGCAAAAAACAGCACAAAAAACAAACAAAAAAAAAACTTTAAAAATGAGACTCATATCGCCCACTTCAGCCTGTTCAAATTTGGTGAGTCAAATTCTGAATGAGATGAGTTCTCTATTCCAAGCTTTATTTCAACTCCAATGTAACAAGCTAAACAAAGCGATTTTCTTTTTTGCAAACTTAGCATTTCAGGTGTAATTGTAGCTAGTTGCGGTTACGCATTCCTTATAGTAGGAAATTTCATTGTTTTTCTGTAGATACGCAGTGATGTTAAGCTGCTGGAAATATCAAATTGCTGCCCGGCCACATTTTGTGAACCTCTACAAAACAATGGATACCTATCTTAAAACAAAGGTTTGGCATACAGCATCTTACTCAGAAAATACGTCGTCGGTTCTGGGCTTTTTGGGTTGTGTATTCTGGTCCTTGTTTCTCTTCGTTGTCTTGTGTACGCATGCTTCACTAGTTTTTCGTCCTTTCCGAAAGCGTCTGTTTGTTTTCATGTGGTACAGGTCTATATATTTGGGATCACAGGTCATTTCATTAACATTAATTGTATTATAATAAAGTTCGGATATAATGCGCGCTGTTAATGGCTGAAAGAGCGTGTTCTATGATTAGCTTACAAAACACGGAGTTGAGCTAACGCTGTCCGCTCTGCTTTAGTTTTCACTAGCTAAAAGCGAGATTTCGGAACAAACGACTCGGCAAGTAGCTACAGAAGAACCAAAGAAAGGTTTTTAATCAAGCCAAGCACCGTAATTAACGTTATCATTACTCGAATAGAGACAAAATTCCTTCAAGAGAAAACGAAAAGGACTGCTGGAATGTTGTCGTGCTGAGTCAGACTAAGAGCTTTTATACGGTAATAAAACTGAAACGCAGGCAATACTCGTATATTATGTATATTTTCGTATTCAAAAACATAACAGAACAAAGAAAAAAAAAGCAATAATAAAATTTGAGAATATAACCAAACTTGCATAACTGTTAAAATTCAAACAGATTAGGATGATGTGAAGCGACTGCTGATCTCCGGTCATCGCAGTGAGGCATGCCTCAGAAATCTCAGATAGAACAACTAAGGGCTTACTCTAATGTCCTTTCGGATACGTTGAGTGGAAGGCCACATCAGTCACAGCTGCTGTATGTCACGGCGCTGTCATCCCGAGCGATCTTCAAGTTCCTAAGAATTTGGCTGTCGTCTATTCATAAAACATAGGGCTCAGGCAGTTTGCTTGCTAATTGCCATTTGAAAAAAAAACTTCCATGTTTTTTCCAGACACGATCCGGGCTGATTTCACCGTTCGTTTTTCACTTTCAGATTGTGTATCAAGAATAGAAAACTTGAGGAAAAAAATTTTTTTAGATTCGAGTTGTGGAACTATTTAAGCTTGTGAACTCTTACAGATTGTGATGGGTTGACATTTTTCAAGACTGAAGTCTTATTCAATCAATCGAATTATTTGAATCATTCTAGCACGGATTCCGATCGGCTCATTGCTGCATGTTTTTCGGGAGTATAGAACATATCAACGCCACTTTTGTTTGCTTCGAGAAGTAGAGTTTGTTTTGAAAGTATTATGTAATGCGTTGGAAATTTGACAGAATCTTCATTATTAAATTAATGTTAAAGAAGTAGCGAGAAACAACACTCGACTACGTCTCGTGTTTCCTCCTAGATTTTTCCAGCTGCTTCCTTAATTGTTAATTAATGGCGAGTATGGAACACCTATTGAAATGATAGTTTGGAAAATTTGGACGAAAGAGGTCGACCTTACCTGCTTTTGTTTCTTTATCAATTTATGCACGCAAATCGGTTCCTGTCTCTGCAGTCTTCATTACGAATAAAATGATTTATTTTTGATTTGTTCCTGGTTCGATTGTCGACATTCATTAACTCACTGATTATTCAACATACTTAATTCCTGATTACCCTCTAATCTTTATCGCAGACATATGTGGATATCGTGGACATGGACAAGTATGATCAGGATAAGTACAAGTTTATCGATGATCGTGGGGCTGTTGCAATCCGAGAAGATGCAGGACCGGATGAGCAAGGAGCAGCTGCAGCAAATCCCAACCGTGAAGTGGGTGCTCACGGTGCTACTGCACATCCTTTTGTGGTTGAAATAGACGATGGCGCTACAGCTTTCCCTCTCACAATTAGCGAAGGAGCAACTGCAGCAAATCCCGACCGAGAAGTGGGTGAACACAGTGGTACTGCGCATCCCTCTGTTGTTGCAATAGACGGCGGTGCAACAGCTTTCCCCTTCAGAGTTAACGTGGCAGACGAAGGAGCAACTACAGCAAATCCCGACCGTAAAGCGGATGAACACGGCGCTATTGCGCATCCATTTGTGGCTGCGATAGAAGATGGTGCTAGAGCTTTCCCTCTCGGAATCAAAGTAGGAGAAGAAAGTTGGGCAGCGCACTCTTTTAAGAGTGATGACAAATATATTGATGCCTTAGCGTACCTTCACGAGAGTGATACCTTACCATACCTCAGCGACAACGAGGAGGAAGATTTTGGTGACTGTGAGGGCACTCTTGGGCCTCAGGAAGAGGATATTGACGACTCTGAGTGCCCTTTTGTTATTAAGGAAAAAGATATCGATCTTTTGCCATCTTCTTTGGTGATGGATGACAGAGGTCTTGGTACTCTGGTATGCCCTTTTTTGACTGATGAGGAAAATCCTGATTGTTCAGCATGCTCTCTTGTAATTGAGGAAGAAGATTCCAGCAACTCAGCATGCTCCCCTATGATTGGGGAGGAAGGTTTGGAAGCCACAGTATGCCCTTCTGGAGTGACTGATCCTAATTTTGTTGCACACTTCCTTGCCATTGAGGTGAAAAAACCTGATGCCTCACAATTTCCTCCCGTAATCGGGAAAAAAGATGTCGATTCTCTCGAATACCCTCCCTTGATTGAAGAAGAGGGCCATGTTGATTCCGCTTCTTCTCCATATGTCGAAGAGGGTGGAACAAGCAATCCTGAGACTAATGCTGATAATCAAGATGCAGCAGCAGTACAGTCCGTAAAGGAGGCAGGACGTGAAGAACCTAAGACTTGCCAACTTGAGAACACAGAGGGTGAACAAGATGATATTGGAAAACATATGGAGGACCAAGGTGATGCTGTAGACCTTTGTGATGAAGAGGTTGGTGTGCAAGAGAGTAATGGTTATCAACTAAAGGCCGTGGATACAGACGAAACTGGAAGTGACGATGACGAGGAGTCATCAGAAGCAACTCCTTTTGTGCAGGACTGAGGCGTGATACCAGAATTGCTGAACTCCAATTTTGTAGTCATTTATTGCTCAAATTTGCTAGTTTCCAAGTTTCCGAGTTTTATTTCGCACTATTGAAATTAACACAGTATAAGACGACTTATATAACAAGGTGAAGAAGATAATGAGAATTAGATATCATGCAGGTTTGCATATGTGTGTACAGTGACCAAAGTAGCCGTAGCTTTTGTGTTGGTCACTGTCCCTTTTAAGTAAATAGAGAGGTCCAACAAACAAGTGTGAGGTATTAATAAATTAGGATATTAAGAGAATAGTTCTTAATATGAATAGATAGAATGAATACTAGACTTATTGATACAGCACGATAATAGAAAACACTTAGAATTTATAAGAAAAAATAAAAAAGGAGAAAAAGAAGAAAAGAAAAGAAAGACAAAAAAAGGAGAAAAGAAGGAGAGTAAAAATAATCTAATTATATATACTACTGCTGCATTGTTAAATGAAGACGGGAAGCTAAAGGGAAGAGGGTATGAGCTGTTTTCGTTATAATTGGTTTTGCTGAGTGGTAATTTGTGGTTTAGATTTCGAGAATCTTAGGCTTACCTTTTTGTACCTCCTGATTTAAAGTGTAATGTTTATGTTACAATTATAATGCTTTGTTAGTTATAATAATCATTTTTATAGTTTGTAGATGGAGGTTAAGTGAAAGTTTACTTGAAAGAGAATTTGCGTATTTACCTCACTTTCACACTTCTTAGTCTAGCGTTTATTCACTTGTTGCACCCGTGAGTGCTTTTTGTGTTATCGACTGTAGACTGATAGAAAGAAAAAGATACAAAAAAGGCATCGCTGTTTAGATAATTTTTATAACTGATTAAGTCAGACATGCTTAATGAATTTGTGAGTATTTTCTAAGTATAAGTAATATTTCCTAATTTTTGTAAGTGTAATACAGAGAAGAAAAATGCTATGGGTTTGTTCGTCTCAAGCAAAGTTACTGTTAAGAGCTCAAACTGACCGTTATGGAAGACAAATAAATAGACGTTGATATCTCTCAAGCCACCATCAATATTGACCCCACTAAAAATAATTAATTTGTTGTAAAACACTCTATAAATGCTTCAATAAACTTATATAAGCAAAACCCGTTTTGTTTACTCCATCCATTGCTATGAAACTGCTAGTTCGGATTAGACAACTTTCAGGGAGAAAAAGGCAAACGCGCAGAAAAGTCTTAAAGAACAAAAGAGACAAAAGGAGAAGATTAATGTGAGCAAATCTAATTGCAGATTTGTAGAAAACCACAAACTAAGATGACATTTAGTATCTAAGGGTAAGAATTAAGAAAATCCAGTTGCGCCGTGCTCGTTCTGATTGGTGTATTTCACTTTCCCAGCTTCTTCTCGCTTTGCAACCAGACGTAGCATATTTCCAATGCAATATTTATATAATTTTGTATTCACAGCTCCTGACTGACTGCTCTTTAGTAATCGAGCTGTCTATTCCAATGCCTTGATTAGATGGGCGGTATTAAATTGATTAGTCTCTAATGTTGGTAGTTGACATTACCGCTTTATATTATTGTCAGAACTCATTCTGATGATTCATTCTGCAGAATTTGGCCTGAGCGAGACATTCTAAGTACCAAAGCAGCTTTTTTTTCTGCTTTTATCTCCACATTCTCAGACTGTTCGGCGTCTCGGGAGCAGGCGTTTGAACTGTCGAAGATAATCTCAGACTAAATTTTGTGAACTGGAGATGTTTAATCTGAACGCAATCTTCTCATTCGGTACAGCTACAAATTACATAAAACAGAAAGCTAGACTCGAACTGAAAAAAAATATTGAATTACAAGAATAAGAATAGCACACAAAGCGATAACTTACATATTTTTGGCCATCTCCAAGTTAAACCGAACATCAACATCAAAAGACAAAATAAAGCAGACCTTACTACGCACAAACAACGCACAACGATTTGAGCTCATGGTCGCTAAGGTCATATGATCTGCACAAGGGGTGATCAGTGGGGCAAACTGTCCCTAACATGAACGTTCTTAATACTAACCTTGCCTTTCGGGCTAGTTTAATCGAACCGGGGATCATGTGTTTGAGCGATGCATCCTTGCCAACATGCCAGTAGATTCTAATTCAAATATTTTTCAATTTTTCAATTTTTAATCTTTTTCTTTTTTTGCCCACGATTACTTACATATTATTAAGTTAATATTGCCCCCGTTCTACTTCTACTTTTATCGTGAAGAATACCATGCTTTGACTCTTTAAACTCCTTTTTTGAGACAGCTCAAGGCGGTTATTTTCTTATCATTCTTCGTTGTGTCTCTTGACATGGCTTTGGAAAAATAAACGATGTCAGTTAAGTGAGAAACTGATGGATAACAAAGTCATGCGTGTTTTTCATCAGACGAAAAGAGAGGATTCGTAAAAGGAGAGGCGCTACGCCTCCTAAGAATGAATTCGTCACGCTCCACGTTCGATAAATACTCACAGTGTTTCAAAATACGAATAAATCATAGAGGATATCAAAATGAAATTTTAGAGAAATGTATCTTTGAGTTTGATCTCACTGGGAGTGAAAGGTCACGCAAGAACTTACATGGAATTAAGCTAGAGATCGATTCTAAACGTTTCCCCGTCCGACAGTCACCCAGGAGCCCAGAGAAGCTTTCTGTTTGACTTTCCTCCGAAATGCTGTGTAGCCAGGTTTCTTCAAAGTCGATGCTCGTTTTCTTGGTAGATCACAAAGCTCTCTTTCGCCCATTCAATCGTTTAAAAATCATCTAGTTAGCCATATAATACGGTGGCTTTTTATCGTGTAGGACGACCTATTATTGATGGCTTCATTGTTGCAATCGCAGAAGCCGGTACTCGATCAAGGTTGCAAGGATTTTTTCGAAGAATAATATACATACAGAAGGCTTTCCTTTTCTCTAATACAGAAAACACCGGGAAAGGCCACCACTCCCGTAATGTATCTTTGCGGGGCGAGGCCTTTTACAAGAAAAAAGAAACACTTTCCTCATGTTTCTTCATTTGAAATATTGATAACGCACATTGCTCAGAGTGAGGTATTCAGAAAACTGACGTGATCATAACTAAAACATTTTTTTTCAATTGTTTTTCAATCTTATTCACTTCTAAATGCTTCAATTAAAACGTTTACAAGCAGAGACTGAGCCGGAAGGTTTCCTTTTTAATGTATGAAGAATAAATCAATTAGATGTAGAGACAAACAGCAGGGCTTGAAAAAAAAAACAGATTTTCTAACAGCGGCTGCGTTGATGCCAGCAGTTTCACTGATTTCTTTCGCGTTGAAGCACACCCCAACATCCTAACTATTTCAAGAACTCTGAGTACAAAAACGTGTTTGGCCCGGTAAACGATATGACCTCTACGATTTATTTATTTATTTATTTAGCTTCGCCCAATTATCTTAGCCCATTACAGTGGATCCCGCGTCGACAATGACAATGATAAAGCCAATCCCCTCCCCCCAAATTCCCAGTAAACAGGCCAAACCACATCACAGTAATCTCGCGAGTGGGCTCTTTAACGTCCCCTGTCCAACCAAATGAACTAATGAATAGAAGTAGGAGACGGACCTATAGTTCATTTGTCCTTATCTAAGAACACTAGAGTGTCTATCCATTTCTTGACCTTGAGTGTTGGTCCGGCCATGGCTCGAGCCCTCGACCTCCCGCACAACAGTTCGGCACTCTAACCAATTGAGGTAATTGGGAGGTGATCTTTCTTCCTTCGTCACATTCTGACACCCTTCGCCTCCTTTGGTAGTTATGTCCACTTCTTAACAAATGTTACTTATTGACCGAGCATCTGGTTAAGGCATAAGATATTTGTCAACTAACTAAGGAAGCACACTCTACATCAGGTAAGAGCATTTCACGTCCATGACAGTTATTATGCAGAAAGAAAAACTGCTTCAAGTGCGGGAAAAGTCGACTGACCAAGTCGCGATTGGTTCAAGTTTGGAATCTGATTGGTTTAGAATATGGTGTTGGTTTTCATGGTGCCTAGTGAAGTAAAGCAAGACCAAAGCAATCTCGAATTACTTTGCACACTCCATTGAAATTGTTCTTGGGGTCATATTTTTGACTTCCAGTACACAGAGAAATATTTATGGAATACTTATACCCCAAACGAGGGTAAAACAACTTTTAGTTCTTTCAAGGTGTTTATAATTCACATTGTTCACTACAAAAAAAAAAAAAAAAATAGAGTTTCCATTAGAACCAGCAATCTTCCTAGGAGAAATTCACACATGAAATGAATTTCAAAGACAAACAAATTTTACTTTGAAAAGTGTGAAAACACCTTGTTTGTCAGCTTCAGACTTTATGTCCTTCTACAGCAGAAACCCACTAACTCCAACAAGAACTGAGTTCTTTTGGATTTGACCCCATCTTTATAGTCATTTATTATCGTTTACTATAAGATAAACAAACTTGGTTTAATTTGAACTCCATATTTACTCCGGCTGATTTCTGAGCTTTCCTTGGCTTAAATTTACCCTGATGCCTCGCCCTTAACTAGAAACATCATCCGATAACGTCAATGTGTCAGAACATAGCTCATTGACACGTTGCAACCTTTATGAAACTGCAACTATGCGAAATCTGTTGCCTAGAAGTAGACAACTCCATATCTTGTAGATAAACACAATTCACTTTTAATTCGCACTTAACTGACGTAGGTTGAGACTCGAATAACAAACAGTTACAATGATTACACAATATACGATATAAAAAAAATAACAAACCTCACGACGGAAAGAGAACTACAAGATATTTTCACTGTCACGGCCACAGAAAAAACCAAGATGACGTTACTGTATGACTGACGTTAATAAGCTACAGTTAGCGCGAAAAACGAGAAAACAGGAATAATACATCGATAAATTATGCAAGCAGCAGCAAGGTGGCAACAAAGCGGCAACAGAAAAGACCACCGAAAGGCGCTAAAGAAACAACAAATATAAACGTTGGCTAGTTAGAGGGAAAAGACTTGGATGATTGACTACGAGGATTGTTTCGTTTTGCAAATAGGCGTGGCCTTTTGACAACAGATCTATTTCATTACAAGACTCGTGACTGACAGTAATTCCGTAAAGTGATTTAAAAGTTTTAGCTTAACATGTTTTAAACTAGTTTTCAGAAGAATCGATAAGAGAGAGAAGCCGGTTTTTATAATATGTTCGTTTACCTGAATCTGCCTGCCTAAAGAGAGAAACCTCCTTTTACCCTCCGGCTCAGTTTTGACCTTTCAAAGTATTTTAACTTAACTTCATTCGTAACGGCAATGTTAACAACATATCGACATCCGGGACATAATAAAAAAAGGGGTACCCAAAGGACTGGGGACAGGAA